CCGAGAAGCTGGGAGGGGACACGGCTGGGACAGCTGACCCCAGCTGACCAAAGGGCTATTCCATACCATATGACGTCATGCTCAATGTATAAAGCTGGAGGAAGAAGAAGGAAGGGGGGGACATTCAGAGTGATGACATTTGTCTTCCCACGTAACCATTACGTGTGATGGAGCCCTGCTTCCCTGAGGATGGCTGAACACCTGCCTGCCCATGGGAAGTAGTGAATGAATTCCTTGTTTTGCTTTGCTCGTGTGTGTGGCTTTTCCCTTACCTATTACACTGCCTTTATCTCAACCCACGAGTTTTCTCACTTTTACCCTTCTGATTCTCTCCCCCTTCCCACTGTGGGGGGAGTGAGCGAGCAGCTGTGTGGTGCTTAGTTGCCAGCTGGGGTTAAACCATGACAGAGTCCTACACGGTTCTGCTCAATGACCTCCAGCCTTTCATCTCTGCAGGATGGGGTGGCACTGGGGGGTAAGGAGAAGGAAGAGACTTTGTCACCCTCTTGTTGCCTGTTCGGGTTTACGAGTCCTTGTTAGTGGCTGCAATAGGTCTGTCAGGTGCAGAAGGCAACCTCATGGTGCAAATGCCCATTAGAAATTAGATGAAGACCCCTGTCACCTCACAAGTATCTCATCTGAGAGTCATCACTGCTGTTTGAAAGGATGTTTGTTCATGAATTTTATAGATTTGGAAATTCACCTATAAGTGGTCCTGTTCGGAGATCACTAAACATCACAAAAAAGTGGAAGCAGCATAACAAAATGCTTTGAACAAAAAGTACTAGTCAGCAGGGTGATATTTAAGCCCACTTACCACATTAAAATAATCATGGGCAGATGGACAGCGGCCTTGAGTGTGGAGTCAATGGGCATAGGCTAGGCTACAAGGTGAGCATGTGCATTAAGTATTGTGCTCTTCTACACATGGTCCAGTCCGTAGGTGATTTCTCAGCAGTACGAAGAGTTTCTATGGAATAAACCAGCACCTGTCACTATATTCTTTCTTTCTATGCTGACAGAAACATGCAATAATGCTAAAGAGACACCTTCAAGCAGAAGACCAGCTTTTTGCCAAGGGATTCTCAAGCTGCTCCACATCCACCACCCAGCCTCAGGATTTTGTCTCCAGCTCCAGCTCTTGGGATCCTAGCAATAGCTCTCCTCCCTACCTTTCTGCCTCCATTTTCCACTTCTTCCTTCCTTTCCCCTCAGCATGCACAAACTCAGCATGCAATTGAGGATCCAAACCATGTCGCTATACACCTACCTGCACAAGCATGCGCAGAGTTGTCCCGGTGATCTCTAGCATAGTTCTCCACTGTAGTACGTGGCTGGGCCCTAATTAAGGACATTTCCTGCAGAACTTAAGGGATCTAACCTTTAATCCACAGGTCATATATATCAGCCACTGAATGACCTCAAAAATAAAAAGCTACAGCATCAAGAATAAAGAAACCTGCTTTGTTTAAGTACAATGCATCATAGACTACAAAAGTGTGGGTGCTGCTTTGGGGCTGTCAAATCATTCAAGCAACAGAGGCAAGAGCCACTAAAACTTGTCAGGGACGAAGTCATGCCATCTGGATTTTCAAAGCTTTTGAAAATGCATTTGGAAATGAAAAACACACAACAGCTAATGCACTAGATATTTCAGACCGGTAGACTAAGATGCAGATATCCAATTTACAGATAACACAACGGCATCTTTTCCCTTAGTCATAAATTCCAGGATGATCAGATTCTGAATAGCACTCCCAGACACAAAAGAAAAATAGGGCAGATGATGAATATTTTATCGCTGAATTCTTGCTATACATAATCATATTATTTTATTATCTCATGCTGTGCAGAAAAAAAATGGGAAATGAGGCTAGATTTGTGAATGATAATAATAATTTGTCAAGCTGTTTGATACAAGGATGAAAATACAATAAACATGATTTTAAAAGTTGAGATAGGAAGACTGGCTACTGCCATGAAATGGGAAAACGTGGAAGTGATTTAAGGGTATTAAAGGAATGTAAAACAGTCTGCGATAGAATAATTTATATAGCAAGAACAACAAAATGAAGTACAAGAAACACTAGAAAAAGCTGTATCCATTAAGACAAAAGGTAAACATTTTGACAGTCCTGGGAAGGAAAGATGAATAAACACCCTCTCATTACACATCTCCACTCAAGTTTCACCTTGACTTAGAAAAAGCTGTTTCCTTAGTACACTGCATTTTGATTATGCGTGGACGGGGAACACTTTCTGCTAACAGTATTCAGATACACATATCCTAATCCACTTTTCCAATGGTATTTGTTAGAGTTCAAGTTTCCTTATGAATTACCAGATAAAATGACATGTTTCAGTGTATTCAATCCCAATGTTAATCAAGCACTGCAAACAAGCTTTTTTTAAAAAAGAATTTTAAGAAATCAACCTTTTGAAATCACAAAGACATGCCTAAAGAGAGAATGCAGATGGAGCTCGGTAGAGGTGCGCAGAAGCACAATCAATCACAGAAGCACAGAGGCTGGTAAGAACCCCTGGGGATCTCCAGTCCAACCTCTGGCCCAAAGCATATCCAGCTGGACAGGTTGCTCAGGGCCTTCTCCAGTTGGGTTTGGATACCTCCAAGAATGGAGGCTCCTAACTGCCATTTGGCAGGGATAAAACCTGGCTAGAGTTGCTGTTTATGTGAGAAATAATGACCCAGGTGTTTCAGTCACTAGCAAAGAAACGGAAACATAGCCCAGAGATAAGGTAATCATATTAGCTTTGGCCACAGTGGCCTGGCAGTTCATTTGAAGTGTAGTAGTTCTGTTCCTAACTGCTCTATCTCTGTATTTTATTATCAGGAAAACACTTTAAAAACATAACAAAGCAAAACCCCATAACATCTGAAAGAAAAAAAAAAAATTTTGGATGAAATAGCTTGGAGGACATTGAATGAGAATTTCAATGTTGTTGTTTTTATTTTTTCAAGAAAGTAGTTATCCTCATTCCTGACCTACCTTTGAAAACTTCAAGCCTCTCCAGGTAGGACTTTAAGTCTCCACAGTTCACTAGGGATTACGGACAGCATCAATAATGCTCTAAACATGAACTTTTAAATATTAGGTTTTCAAATAATAACCAAAGGACTAGATGAGGACAAATGTAAATATTTACCTATGTACAACGACACAGACTGTCTGTGTGACCCTATGGCGTACAATGGGACATGGTATCACATGCTTGGGTATCCAGCTGTCAGATTTGATTACTTGAGTTAGGTTCCCTTATACCAAGATTAGAAACTCTGTACTCAGCCTGACTGAGAAATCAAATTGGACAAATTCCTTTGTTTATAATTCTGTAGTAGAAAAAGGTTAAAGCAGGCCCTTCTTCTGATTCAGGAAAAAATGTCCTTGAAAGCAGTGGGAGCCTCAAATACCTGAAAGGCTTATAATTAGTCAACCTCTGAAAACTCCTGAAAAAGATACCAGAGAGAGAGCTCCCCTTAAGGTTCCCATATACCTTTCCCCTCTCAATTAAAAGAAGTATAAAAGCAGAATTGAGATCTAAAACACATTTCAGATATTTTTATCTGCTATGCAATCTCAGGAGTTGTGTGTCAATTACCTCTAGAAAAGCCACTCGGAAATTAGAGCCTGCCCAGGTCAAATTAAAGCAGGTTTTCTCCTTGGCTTGCAGGTGACTCAGGAGCACCCTAGGATCCCACGATTTTTATGCCCTTTCATCCTGACTTTCAGTGAGTGCTGCACTTCAAACCCTTTTTAGTTTGAAAAACCAGAAACAGAGGTCAGAATGCCACTGGTTCCCTGTTTTTATTTCTAAATCAAAAGATTAATTGGACGCTCATCCTACCAATTTCTGCTTCAGAAATAACGCATGGCCTCATATGGCAAGAGAGCCAGGCTAATGCAGCAAGCCTCTGCATTTACCAGTCCAGAACCAAATCCCCACAGCAGGACTCAGAGCACACACCTAGAAGAGGTGCACCCACATGAAGCATCATTATGCATTACTATATGTAAAGTGAAAGGTCAGACATTTACATCATGTGAGATGCAGGACATTGGTGCTGCTGAATACACATCCATAAACAAATGCAAGGCATGAATGGCTTTTTTTGTCATTTCCCTTTTTCACCTCTATCCTCTCCCAAGGACTACAATTTAATATTAAATGCTGATCTCAAGCATTTCCTTTGTGCAGATGTATTTGATGTGAGACAGGAAGGAAGAATCTTTACCGCATTTATGTAAGCTGTTACTGGCATGAGGGAGACAGGCAGAAAGACCAAGCATCGCTAAGAGTGGCATTTCAATGTATTAAGGGACTGGGGATGCTTATCCATTGCCCTGCATTTCCTCATGTGTGTATGTTTGACCTCCTTCAGGTGTCCTCAGTTTTCTGTAGGAGAGCTTCACAGCATCTCCAGAACCTCAGTCAGGGAATAAGAGTGCTACAAATAATTGTCCTAGGTAATTTCTCTTATTGTACGTGGTATTCTGATAAAGCTTCTCTTGAGAGCAAAGCATGCTACCTTTCCAGTGAAATACATGGACCTTACTTTCCAGTTTCACTGAGGGTCATTATACATATACATACGTATATATATATATGTGTGTATATATATATGATCAACCTTGGCCTGGCTGCTCCAGGTCCAGTGCTTCAAAAACAAATCAGGGTTCCACCGAAATACCTTAAATATAAATTAAAAAAATGCATGGATTGACCTTTATGTCACTTAATGAAGCCTTATATTTTTATCAGTTGTAATAAAGTAGATCAGGGAAGGAAGGTAGATATTTCAGATTATGTTTTTTAGACAACAAAAAAAATACGAAGAAGAAAACAGAATTAGATGTGAAATACCTATCCGACTGCATAAAGAAGCACAGGTGTCACAGCCCAGTAAATGCACCAACCCTAAGATATCTGTCTGACGCAAACAGTGTCAGCAAAAAGACCTGTTTTGTTAAACAAAGCCTTACCTTTCTGCTATAGATTTCCTTGGGAAATAAAAATCCTCTCCTGCGAGGTAGGCAGCTGCAGTTCCACCTCCGAAATAGGTTTTCCTCAAGAGGGGGGCAATCCGGTTGTTTACCAATAATGCTCCTAAACCAGTCGGGAATCCAAAGATTTTATAGAATGAGATGGGGATAAAATCAGCTTGGTGAACTCCCAAGTCTAATGGAGAACTGCTCACATACGAAGCTGCATCTAGTAGAACAAACCACTTTCCTGGTATTTTGATGGGGTGGAGTTTTCCAGATTTTATGTCCTGTATCCATGAAAGGGGATATTTGGTACCAGAAAAATTGCTCTGAGCTGGATAAGAGAAAAGATGAGGTGTTGTGCAGTTTTGTTCTTCAGTTGGTAACCTGTTTTCTTCTGATAACAAGATTTCCTTTGGTTTTATTGGAACAGACAAAACATTCATTGAGGCAGTTACCCCCCTCATACCCACCACAGATGTGTGGCTGTCAGTTAGGTAACAAAATCGACTGCTGGGTTGCTTTGTGCCTTCAGGTATCCAAGGGAATGCTTCTGCTACCAGTTTAAGTGCAGCTGTGCATCCAGATGTGAAAATGATGGTGTAATCTTCAGCAGTAGTGTGAAAGTGTTGCAATATTCTGAAAAATGGAAAAAAAAAAGATCCAGTTATTTTCTGATTTTTCTGTTTTATTACTGTGTGATATATTTTGTTTTTCCTCAGCATAAATTCTTCTACTCTGACACCTGATATGAATATAAGTAGACAGGTTTTGCCAAATAGCTCAATAAACTTCAACAAGTGTAACCTGAATCATTTTGCCCACATGAGACTCTTTCCAATGCTGTGGTGAACGTGGCTGTGTTTTTAAGGACAGAAGCCAATTCTGCCTGGGTCTGAGGGCCCGTCTGGTCCCTCAGTGGGATCAGACTCAAGCATGCATATGATTAAAATTACACTGTCCTTGAGAGAGCCTAGTTTTATTTGCAAACTATTAGGGATTTTAGTTTACAAAGTATTTGGAGTAGACAGAATACCTTTCAGTTAAAAAAAATTCTACTTAAAATACCAGGCATGCCAATTAAGGTTCACAGGATTCAATAGGGAAACTTTAGCATACAGCTTTGCTCCCTGCTTATATTATTAACAACAGAAACAGAATACAGCAAGAAGCAACACATGCTTCCTATGTGCCTTATGCACATAAGGCTGTAATCTCTGCAGTCCACAAAGATGGACTAAACCAGAAGCAACATAACGTCTTCCAATGAGCCAGACTATGAAAACTTAAGCAAGCTGATCTCTTGAGACACACCTATACTACACACTCATTGATGCCTGGACAGCACCTCGTTGGCTCTACACTACCTTTTGTGATCACCATCTAATGCACCTTTTAATACCCATGCGAGCTTGTGCATCTGTTACAGTTTTGCAGTGTGCAAGATGGGTCTTTTCAGAGGCTGGGGAACAGCTTCAATTCGGTCACCTTTCTTACCTTTTTCACCTGATGAACTTTCCCTGAATTAACTTTTATAAAACTGCTGCTATTATTAACTGGAAATGTAACAACCATCTAAGAGACACCAGCTTCAGCGCATGGAGCAGAGCAAGCAAAATTGAACCAGAGCACAAATGTTGCTGCTCAGCAATGCTGTCTGGTTTTCAAGTAAAGTAAGATGTAACAAGGTTTCTCAGCACGCCTCTCCTGCTACAGAGCGTTTCTGTGAGCAACATAACGTACCAGTGCTCTCCAAGCGGCTGGCGCTCTGATCTGTGTAATTCCAAGGTGCAGACCAGCATTTGGAGAGCCTCTGAACTCGGGTTCCCAATGTGTATCATTAAAAGTTTGTATGTTTTATATAACAGGAGATTCCCTTACTAGACCAAGCAGAAACTGAAGACGCAGTTGCATTTAAATGTAAGTTGTACAAAAGGTCACACAACAAATTCATGCTAAAATTTCCTGAACCATAGGACAGCAAAGAGAAATGCCTGAAAGTTTTATGTGTCCAGTCTGAAACACAAATGCTACAGGCAAAGGGTGGTAGAGCTGGGTGTGTGGGATGCAGCAATCAAAGATTAAACACTGGAAAAGAAACAATTGCAATGACTCTGATGACTAAAAAATACCCTGCAAAGGCCCACTGAAATGATACTATTAATACTTTTCTCAGTTGAAGGAAAGTCTTATTGTACTGGGAACTACAGGATGCAACAAATGGATCCATAGGCCCAAATGAGACTTGAGTGTCTTCAGAACTTAAATTTTTGAAATCTGATGCAATTGGTAGGTATTTTATGTCTTCTGGAAATGAAGAAGGAATTTCAGCTTTTATGAAGGGCAACAGGAGGTCATGGATTTAAGCTTCAAATGTTCTGAGAAACCGTTTGAAAGAATTCATAAGGATCTTTCTGAAATAGATCTGCCAGGGGATAGTTGCTGCAAGCATTCACAGCTCCGGACATAATTTTTAAAGACCATGTTCAGAGAAACCAAACTTCTCCATTAGACTTATTAGAAACCATGTTAGGGATGAAGAATGGAGACAATCACAGAAGTTTTTGTCGGGTACTGAACTGAGAGCCTGCCTCATTCATCACTGTGCCCTGCTCTCTCTCGTCACTGAATCACATCCACTCCCCCGTCCGCTGCAGTGAGCTGTACAGCCCTTCCCACCACCACCTGCGTGACAGCTTGAAGCACGCGTGTG